CTGAGAACTTCCATTCTGGACCATAACTTATCTCAGAAGTCCAGTGGTGCCTAAGGAAATGTGCACATCACTTGTCAAGTGTAGCCTTTTTGTAGGAAAATTATATTTATTGTTCCCTCAGGGTTACAAAGTGGTAAGTGTTGCTTGCTGTTGATAACAAAATCATGCTTATGGGATGGTTAATAATCCTGAAATGAGGGGCTTTAAGTAACCTGCTGCTGCTCAGGAAACAAAACTTGAGTTCTTTACTTACAGTTTTCTGAAAACAAAATCTGTTTTATTGTTTTCCCTTTTTATCGCAGCAAACCCAACAGCTGAGAGAGAGAAATGTGTGGGGAAAGCTGCTGCTGCACAAATGCAGAATGTCCTCAGATTTTGGGTCATATCCTATCATAGTCCCCTGAAGGATTTGAGCATTTGCAACTAGTCCTTGAGGAGACTGGAATGTAACCTGGGAAATACATGCTTGGTCAAGGCATCTGCTGCTGGCTGATGTCAGGGACATGATCTGAAGCCAGCTGGACCTGACCCCATCTAATATGGTTATCTTCATGTTCAAATGAATATACAGTGCTTAGTTCTCTTCTGGGCAGGACAACTAAGGATTGCCAGGTGAAAGCGAGGTGATGTGATTCTGGTCATCACCAGGGGTTGTTGTGGAGGTCAAAAGGAAGTGCTCAGAAAGGACCAGGAAGGTTTTTCAAGGTGGGCTGCTGAGGTGTTGGTGCAGGTGAAACCCCAGTTCAGAAGTTTGTTAAGCTAATTCTTAACTTCATGGTGATTGAGGAGAAGGAAAGCATCTTGAGGAATGATCTCTTCATCAAAAGTGTTAAAAACATCTCCTTCTGACACAGTGCTTGTCAGAACTGAGGTGCTTGGCTAGAAAAACCCTATAGCATTGCTTACAGAGTGGATGGGACAGTAATGTAACTCCTGGCTAAATAAATACTTCTTGTTTTGTTTGTTTGACTTGCTGTGCTTGGCAGGCTTGGAATTCTGCTGCTTTTTGAGCCAATACTGATAACTCTTACAGCTTTTACCTTGTTAAACATGAAGGTTGTTTACTTGTCCTCTAAAATGGGTCAGATACTAGTGTACTAAGTGTGGTTCTCATGGTTCCCTTTCTGCCAGTGGCATTTTCTCTGCTAAATTATGGTAAAGTGTTTAAAGTGCATCCCATAATATGCTGTTCTGGAACACAGGGGATGTTCATAATTGTGCAAAAGAGGTAATGATTGAAAAGTGTAAGACTTTCTTGGAGGTGTGTCACTTGTGGATCACAGTGACCTCAGTTCTAGTTTTCCTGTTAAGAAGTGGCAGATGAACACAAATACTGCTTTAAACTTGTAAAAATGCAACAGTGCTGAGCTTTAAATACCTCACACCAAAGGGGACACTGTTTAGAGGGTGAATAATAACTTTCAAGACCTAATGCACATTGGACTGGAAGTCACTGTAGTGTTCAATTTTAGATGTTGGGAAACTACATAGACAGTTCTCACCACTTTATCTTGGATTTCTTGAATCACTATTCAACTTTTTAAAGAGCATTCAGAGTTGTACATGCAGGTGGGGAGTGGAGCAGGCTGTGGTCTTGAACAGAGAGGGAAGCTGAATTACTTGAAACATGCACAAAGATGTGTTCATGGTTTATTTGAAATCTTCCTTGTAGTTAGTTCAGATGGCTTTTTATTTTTAATAGGAGTGAAACTCGGGCGTGGTGAAAGTGGGCTTGGCTCCTGTGTTTGTCACAGTGCTCTGAGTCACCCCGGGTCACTGCAGTTCTCACTCTGGAATTCTTGGCACTTCAAGGATGGGAGCCACAAGTCACGACCAGGAAAAAGTTGGTGATATTGGGCTGTGCTTTTATCCTGCTGTGCAAGCAACTCTGTCATTAGTGCAAGTTCATTTTAGTTAGTATTCTGTATCCAAAAAAATCGATACAAGTTAATAACAGTTATTCTAAGTTACGTTCTTTGTAAGAAAGGCAGGTTCTGTGAAGAACTTCTGATGTTTTATTTCTTGGAGCTTATCCTTTTATTTGGACTTTCTTCTTGTTATTTGTTCGCTGTATTTTTTTTAGACCTCTAAATTATTGTAGCTCAGGTGTGTTTTGCCTGATTTTGGTGCGAGAAGGAAGATTATCCTACTCAGTTTTTATCCTTCCTCCGATTGCTTGCTAAAGTTCTTGGTTCATTTTGCATTTTAGTGGGTTTTAGGACCTCCTCAATAAAATTAAGAGCTGATTTAGCCTCTTCAGTAGAGAAATTAGATTCAAATAAAAATATACAAAGTCTTAATACTTTTCAGTTTGATGCAGAAAACTTGCTCACGCTTCAAACCTTATAAGGCTGAGAAAAGGGCTTTATGTTAAACCACAGGCTGCTTAGCTGTCTTCAAGGGTGTGGAATAAAGATGTGAGATTAGAGCTGTACTCCATGGACTGAAATTTAATACTTCATGTCCTTAAAGCTGCTACAAGGCCAACAAGATACTTAATGAACTATTGCACATGGAAAAAGCGCTCCCCGCGCTCTGACCTTGCAGCTCTGAACAGCTCACGCCTGGTGCTGACTGTCGGGAAGGGCTGGAACTCCTTATCCTTCCACCAGCAACATTTTGTTCCCTTGCAGAATCACTGCAGGGTCAGGTTCTGTAGAAGAAAGTTTCTGATGTTTTTTTTTTTAAGCTTGAGTTTGCCTTCAAACACGACAGGATCTGATGAGCGTCAGAGGTGGGAGCGCACGGGGAGGGCAGGGGCGGGGAGGGATTGAGCATCACAGACTTGGCACACCCGGAGTTGTGCTGTGCAGTCTCTTGGTAAGGAAAGCCTGAGTGTGTTCAGACACAGTTTAATGTCACCCTACAAAGAAGTCTCACTTGGAGACTAGAATAATACATTTCACCTGTGGATAGTAAGCTGAAGTATCTATAAATGTAGTAATACAGAAAAATAAAAATCAACTACTAAATGCAAAAGTAGGATACCTTTAATATATTTGCCTGGCTCTTTAATACTGCCTTTGGCAGCTGGAGAACACGAGCCACTTGTTACATGTGCTGTGACATCTTAGCAAAGGAAGGCTAAAAAATAAACAGTTCTCACTTAAAATCCAGATAACATTCAACGTGTGGGAGAAAAATCTCGTCATAGCAGAGATTCCTTGGAATTGACAGTATTTCTTTATGTTTGCTGATCTGTTTTTCCATGGTGTTTGGCCTTTTTTTAAATCCCTCTCTGGGAAGTGTGGCTCCCTTTTCTGTGAGTGCTGCAATCACACCTCAGATCTTTGGGATCCATCCTCAGTGCTGCTTTGCCAAAAGTGGGACAGTGGGACTGTTTGCCTTCCTATGCAGCAGGGAGGAGGTGCAATCAGCCGTGTCCCCCACATTTTCCATAGCCCCAGAAGTGCCCTGGGATGAGTGCAGGGAGCCAGGCAATTCTGCACTGCTCCTCTCACAAATCCCTGTGTGTATGACCCCTGGCAGCCTCGGGAATGCTGAGCCACTGTCCCCTGGTAAAGCAGCGTTGGGTGAATTGGCACAAAAGTTTCACTTCACTCCTTTACAAGATTTGAGACCAAACTAGTTGAAAGTCTGGGTTTTTTACTTTTTATGCAGTAAATGTACTTTCTAGGAATTGGGACCCAATTTTCTGCTGGGTTTCTTGGGGAGAAGAGCACAAGACTTGCCTATAATAGTTAATTCAAATTTAGTAACTGTCTGCAATTAAAATTATTAATTTGAATATGTTTTGCAAATACTGCACAGATGGCTGTGAGACTGTGAAGTGTTTGGGAGATGGTATTAAACTGTACTTGCTGTGGTCCCTTTTTCTGTGAGGAAACTGCTTGTCATGTGTTGGTAGGCTGTCGCTGATCCCAGGTGTGTGGTGAGTTACATCAGCAATGTTCCTGCCCTGTGCAGAGAGCAGACCTGTGCTGTGTCTTGGTTTAGCAGGGCATTGCCTCTAGTACAAGAAATTATCTAGAAACTGCACTTTTCTTGGCATAAATGTAGCACACTGGCATTTTCTGCTGCAACAGGAATGAGGAATGGTGCTTTTTTACATAGTTCTGTGGCAGTTAACCTGAGAATGGGAACCAAGCCAAGTGTTAATGCTTGGCTTGATGCTCCAAAATCATGCTGGAAGATATCCTGATGTTCTCTTGTAAGTGAGTTAAGTTACCTGTTGGATAGCATTAACTTCATATTTTCAAGTGACACTAACAAATAAGGTCCTCACTTTGCTTTTACAAGTCGTGATCTGCCTTGGGGCATCAAATTCCTGGTTTCTAGCACAAATACATTTGGTAATTTCATCTTTTATCCTCATTGCAGCAGCAGTTTTGTAGGGCTTGTGCTGTCTTATCACTAGAAAGTTGAAAGTCACTTTGTGGGGAATTCAGTTGTTGGTTCAAAGTGTCACACTGTGCTCTGACAAACGAGGTCTGTGGATCTCGTTCTGGTGCCATCCCCAGCTTGTCTGCTTGGCAGATTGGGGTTCCTCCTGAGGTGAGAGACTGATCAGGAGCAGCTGAGGTGCAAACATATGTCCTGGTTTGCTTGCTCTGATGCCAGCAGAGCTGGGAACAAATCCTTACCCCTCCTTGTGCCATCATCCCTGTTTAGTGACCAAATGTCCAGCTTGCTGTGGTGGAGGGAGCTGCTGAAGCTGTTGGGTGCTTGACAAAACAGCTTCAAACAGAAGCAAACGTGGTGTTTGAAGTTGCAGCTGCGTGAACTGGTAGTTTCTGGTGTGTTGAATAACTTTATAACCCGCCAGGTGTGGGATAAAGCTGTACCTGTGGATAAAGTGCTCCCCCTGTTGCGAGCTGCTTGATTTTCCAGGATAACTCTGAACTTCCCATAGGACTCCAGTGGTCATGTCAGAATATATGTACCTCTTTTTTTCTTTTCCCAACAGAGGTGGACTGAAAACACTGATGTAAAAGCAATAGGTGCCCAAACAGGTGTTAATTAGTTTCACTGTTTTACAGATGGGGTCGAGGATTCGGTCTGTTGGGTTCCATCTTTGGAAAGGACAGTGCAATAAATCAGTCAAACAGTGTTTTTGGACTCGTGTTTTATATACTACAAATGCTACTTGGTAAGTATTAATTCTGCTTAAAGCCTAAAGCATGTAGCAGGTCTGTGGTGTTGAAGGAGGAGTGCAATACAGATTGTACAATCTGCAAGAAACCAGATAAATGCTTGTGGTTTTTATATCTTTTTTTTCTTAGCACCAGCCTAATGATACATCTGTCCAAAGGGCTTAAAAACCCAACTGATAATAAGAGTAATTGCATTTTCCTCTGCTATGCTATTAATAATATAGGGTGTCAAGACAGTTTCTGTGCTGGTATTTTCACTTCAGTATATTTAGCATGGGATTGCATGATAGAAAAGAGAGGAAATAAAAATGGAATTTGCAAGTTTGGCAGGAGTAGTAGGCAAAAAAGTGCATGAGATGTGTTGTATACGTGTTGGTAACTACGTGGTCTGCTATAAAGCTGTTAACTTTGATAGAAATAACTTGATCAGCCTGTAACTTTGCCGTAACTCAGGAGTACAGAGGATGGTTGATGTAAACATACTCCTTATCACAGGACTGTCAGACAGAACTTAGATGCTCCCTTCCAAAGAGTGGTTTGTCTTGATTTGTCATGGTGTTTTAACCAGACTTTTCTGTAAGACAGACTTGCTGAGGAGCCCTCAGTCTGAGTTAGTGCTTGGGCTTTGTGCTGTGCGTGGAGGGGGGCCCAGAGCAGCCCTAGTAACTCTCTCTCTCTTGTTGCAGGTATGACAGCAAGTGCAGTAGCAGCTCTAATCCTCATGACATCCTCCATAGTGTCTGTAGTAGGGTCATTGTACTTGGCATACATTCTGTACTTCGTGCTGAAGGAATTTTGCATTGTCTGCGTCATCACATATTTGCTGAACTTCATTCTCTTTATCATCAACTACAAACGACTAGTTTATTTGAACGAGGCCTGGAAACGGCAACTCCAACCCAAACAGGAATAACCCCTGTTTGAACTCTTGACTGACAGTCTGAAGACCCAACTTCCATTAAGTTTATTTTGCAGTAATTTTTTATTCTCCATATCAGACACTCTCCCCGAGAATCATAACTGAATTTTTAATTATAAATTTGAAGGGGCCCCTGATAATTTTTCTGTGCTAATCTTCAGTTTAAATGTGGTTGTGAAAGAAAGCTCTAATACAATCAAAGACAAGCTTTAACTTTACTTTGAAGGAGTTTTAGCCACAGCAAAACCTAGACTCTCTCTTCCCCCTCCACTTGTGAAGTGGGTAACACTTGCTATAAAATATCCTGTATATAAATTCAGGTATAACAAGATGTGATCATGACATTAAATATTCTAGACTAGCATCACCATATTTAATGTTGCCATGTTTACAGTATGTGTATTACTTTTTTGTTTTCGTTTTGGTTTTTTTTTTTTTTTTTTTTAGCTGATGGACTTAGATTTGACTAGGACTTACACTGTAAATAAAATTAGAGCTATTGGTTTCATCCCTGGAGAACTCACTGTACAATGGGTTTTGTTAGGAGCTGTCAGAGGGTTCAGCTCACAGTCGACTGACACGATGGAAGAAGTGACCTCTGAAGAGAACACGGAGTTGCTGCACTCACTGCTCGTGCTGTCCCAAGAATGATGCTTGGGGTTGGTTCCATTTTTTTTTTTTTTTTTCCTTCTGTCTTTCTTTTTGTCTCCAGTATCGAAAAATGGAATTAAAGCTGAAACCTGAAGTGTGTTCATTAAACCACAACCTCGTTAATTCTGTACCGAGTGAAAATAGCTTGGTGTGGTCGACGGAAAGCCTCCACCAGGATATTCTGTGCAGGTTGGGGGTTGGTGTATCAAAGTGTTCTTTGGAAGGACTCAGTTTCCATGCAGAGCTGTTTCATTTTTAAGCTGTGGTCAGCCAGCCAGTGTTACTAATGTTTGATGTTCTATGAATGCTGCAGTATAGGATTGCAATTGCAGTGGAAACCACTGACTGAGCGGGATAACCAAGTCGTGCACTGAAAAAGCAGTTACTTAATTGATCTTCGTCAGGATCCTTGGTTTGTGCTATATTGGGAAATGAACTTTAGGCCTGACACACACACACACAAGATCCCTTGGAAGGGCAAGCTGTTTAATGGGATAAGTGAGTAAATGTGCTCCTGAAAATGAAATGTGATGTAGTGCTATCATTGCTCTTTCTAATAACTAATTGGGAAAAAAAAACATTAAACTGCGGATTTAAAGGAACAAAATTGTACATGTTGTTTCTGCACTCAGTATTCTAAGGCTGAATGTTAAAAGTGCCTTCTGTCTTAAAATCTTAAACCAAATACTTTGCGTTGAACTTGGCAGGCAGAAGTGTCCTTGCTTTAAAAATGAACAAACAAACAAACAAAATTCCCAGCAAACTTGCCGGGGATAGAGGAGTATTAAGAGATATGTTTAGTTTTTAGACTGAGAAGTGGTAGCAATATTGTTTCAGTTTAATTAAAAAAGGTTGATGGCGATTTGGAAAAGTAAAATATTTGTGTTTCAGACTCTGTGACACGAAAACGTGTAGGTTCAGTTACTTTCTGTAATTGGTGCTGTGCTGCTTTTTGCCCTTGTCAGCTTCTAAATATGAAGAATTCCAACTGCATACCAGTTATTTAAAGAATTAATTTAACTACTTTTTGGATTTTTTTTCTCAAACATGAATGTCAGAGAGACACTTCTGTTGTATGGATAAGTGGATTATAAACACTAAGTTGCTGAGGATAAACTTGACTGTGAAACATGCAGTGTTTCCGTAGAGCAAATAGAATTTTTAGATTGAATCCACAAAATAGTATTTAAATTACTACTGAAGTCATTTTCTGGTTTGTTATCAAGGATGTAGGTGGAAACTGCTTTTATGTATAGAGTTCTGTGGTATGAGTAACATCTGTTGCATGTAACACTAAATTACTTGTCCCTCTTGTCTGACAGTTTTAGACAACAATTCATTAAATGCATTTTGTATTGACCAGAGTATAGTTAAAGCTTGTCTTGATGTTTAGTTCTGTCTCTCAAATGCCTTGAACTTTGATATGAGGGGAATGAATGATGTTAAACTGGTCCCTCAAGGCTTGCCTTTGTTCTCTCACAAGCCTTGAGGCGGTATCACTGTTTAATATGTGGTATAGATTTATTTTGATGCATTCCTGTGATCTACACTAAGGCATCTTTTTTTTCATCCAAGGAAGAGGTGAACACGTGCTGCCTGAAATGGTCAGTGGCAGTGCTCATATCTCAGAACAAGCAGCCATGGAGACAAGTATAATCAATGAGTACTTGGTCCAATTTCTGGGAAAAAAAAAGGAAAAAAAGCCCCATCAGCTGAAAGTATTGGTGTTGACTTAACTTCACTGTGTCTTGTGCTTGTTCGTGTGGGCATAGTCTGTTAATTCAGTTTGTTTAGTAAAAATGTTTAGGGCCGGATTTCCAGCAGTCGTGTCTGCAGTCCTTGTTTGTGTGCACATAGGGATCAAATGGAACTGGAGTTTGGTCTCTGGAAGAATTTGCAGCTACACTCTGTGCACAGACTTGCAAATCTGATCCTTAATTGTGAACTCTTTTGTCTTGTGTGCTTTTCTTGCAGTTACTTTTTACTGGAAGTGATTTGCTAGAAACGGCCCTGACTCTTCTATTTCTCCCTCGTGCTTCAGAAATGCAGTTGGCCTGAATAAAGGGCAAAATAATCTTAGCAGTAGAAATTTGGACCTCTTTGCTTCCAGTTCTTTGACTCTCCTTGTTGCTCCCAGTGATAGAAACAGCATCTTTCTTCCAGTAAAATGGCACAGGTTGTGATGTGATGGAACTCAGAGGAGTGCCCCCCTGCCTGCCCCAGCCAAAACAAACGTGGTGGGAAACGTGTGGTTGATTCTGATTTCACCCTTCCAAACCCAAAGGCAAATTCCGAGAAATCTTGAGGATACAGGAAAACACAGGTAAATAATACCTGGGCTGGCAGGGGACAGGGGGATGTTACACAGATCCTCGTTGTGGTTTCAACACTCATGAGAACAGAGGGAAAAAATTCACAATATCCAAACAGTGGTTCTGAATTTGGGTCCTTCCTCCCCCTCTGGCTCTCAGAGTCACCGAATATTCTCAGTTGGAAGTTCCTCGGCGAGGGGCGGATTGGAAAGGCAAAAGAACCTCATCCCAAAACCTGCTTAGGAATTAAACATTCCTGAAATCCTCTTACTGTAAGGTACTTGCTACTCTTAAAGGCCAACAAAGCATTCAAGTCTCGTTGAGGAAATGAGTGTTCTTGGAAGTTTCTCGGTGTAAGGTGTTTGCGATGCTGAGGCCAGTGAAACATTCCCGACCACCTTTGATGCCTGAAGTGGCAACAGATCTCTTGTGAGGAGGTTTCTGCATTCTGTAGTGTTTGTCTGCTGCTGTACAGAGTCTCTCAATTGTTCCAGGAGGTTGGTGAGGTGCTTCAGGCAGCACTTGATGCTCCTAATTTATGTGGGCTGAAGTCAGAGATTGAATGGCTTTGATTCTGCCAATGTTGTTTAAACGTGAACTAGACAAAACCGTTCCAGAAAAGATGAAGTATTCTGTTACCATAAAACTGTATTAAGCATGGCCTAAATATTAGGTGTTTGTTCTGTATAGTATGTTCCATCAACTATTTATTCCTAGTGCTTTAAACTCCAAATTAAACACCCACTGAAATGGAGTCATTGGGCAGATGTTCCTTTCATCGATACAGGCTGAGAGATTCTATATCAGAGGTTTAGGATACAATTTTGCTAACAGGTAAAACAATGTAAATATGTACGAATTCTATTTGTTGCACATAACTTTTTTGGTATAAAAAAAAAAAATAATAAATGTAGAAATTACCTGTGGACGTCTTGCTGCAATCATTCTTATGCTGCATTCATGCAGTCCAAACATAAGAGCTTGAATGAACCCAATCAGAGGCCTTTTTGGACTCAGTCTGAGCCTTAGAAACTGTTTTTAACGTCAGTACTGTAATTCTGTTTCTAGAAACGTACTAAGTTGTGGGGTTTTTTTTCAAAGACATTGTGTGTGTTAGCAGTAGTTTAAAGCACTTGATTCCCCACAGATCCCAGTTTATAGAATTCCTGCAGCTTCATCACGTTGTGTGCACTGGGTGTGTAGAGGCTGAGCAGCGTTGACTTGAGGCTTTAATTGTTTACAGTTCTTTAAGCAACGTGCAAAAAAAACAACTACCTAACATTCAGTGTGTGATCTTTATCACTTCCTGCTTTATTGGTTCTGTGGGTCTGCTTGAACCCACTCCCACAAGATCACAAAGGATCTGGAAAATGCTGTGTGTGTTCCTGGATCTGGGGGGCTGAGGGAGCTGCTGGGAAGGGTTGGGTAGGAGGGCTTGGGTTTATGATTGCGCTGAGCTGGTCAGAACAAGCAGGCACTGAGCTCAAATGTGTGCTTTTCATACATATGGGCATTAAACTCTGCATCTGTTGTGTTGGACTGAATGAAGTTAAAACTTCCTCTTCTGCAGCTGCCAGCCCCATGTTACCACAGGGATCTGAGCCCTGGTTTGTAATGGGTGAACAGTGTCAGATCCTTCTCTGTCTTTTGGTATGTCCTGTCTGGTGAAACGGGGAAGAAAATGATTTTCTTCTTTAAATAATGATGTCTGGAGATGAAGAAGTTGAGATGACTTTCAAACACTGGTAGTGGGCTTAAATATGGTCATTGCTTCTACCATGGTACGTTTGAACAAGTGTCTTTTTACTGTGCATAGACTTTTATATTCTGGGGCTTTAGTTATATAGAAGATCTAGACCTAACCTGGTGTGAGGAATGTCGATAGTGTGTTGTTTCTTTTCCCTTAAAAACTTCATAATTGTTTTGAAGTCTGCAGCAGACATCTGTGCCCTCATTCTGCGTGGGGCAGGGTGGAAGGTGGGGTTGATTCCTAATGTACCAGCTCTAAAGGAAAGAGAATTTGGCCACCACAAAACATAAGAGCAAATATTTTCTTTATATTGTCAGTCTGCCCTACCCCAGACTACTCCAGGCCACTACCAGAAAGGTTCAGAACAAACTTGCCCTCTTAGACTGCTGTTGCTGTAGTCCATGGTGACAGTTTAATATGAAGGAAGCCCTTCCGTGCTGGAAGGTAAAACTGCCTCGAATAGTGGCAGTTTTGGTACTGTGAGTAAAATAAATAGTTTTATTAAAGTTCAGTTGCTGTAGTACCTGCCTATCTAACATATTCCACCTTGCTGCTGTAGTATGAATTCCATACTGTGTTGGGAGTATGTTGGGTGTCCTCACAGTGATTCTTACCCTTCCTAAATGCTGTGAGTGCTCAGGAGTTCTCACACGCACATCCTGTCAGGCAGGAGAAGCTGCATAAACTCTGCTCCTCTGTGGACAATTTGCTGTGATCTGAGTAGTGTAACTGTTAGGGGAGTATAACTGGAAAACCTCATTTGCATTAGGGGGATGTGATGTTCGTTTACAGTAACTTAGATTTATTTTTTTTTTTTTTAAGTCTTCAGCATTAATTTGTGTCATGTAATATTTGTGTTGGGGTTTTTTGCCATAAACAGATACCTCAGTCAGGATCTCTAACTTCAGCTCCTTGAAACTCTGAATATTTGTTTTACTCTCTGGAAACAGGAAGCCTCCAGACATGGCTAAGCAGAGGAAACCAGCGTTTCTGATCTGCTTCACATCATAGTAACTCCTTCAGGTGGACTAGAAATCGTATTAGACTTGCAAGACTTGAGTCAGGCACAAAAGTTATTTAAACAGAAATTTAATAACAAGTTCAGCGTAATACCCTTTGATTTCATTTTAAAAAGAGGGCATGTGATGTTATTACAGGAGGAAGACAGCTTGATTCATTTGCAATCTTCCAGTATCTTTCTCTAAGAACAAAAGCAGCTGCTTTGGGCTGTCGCTGGCGGGTAAATATTCCTTTCTTGTTCCCCAAAACACGTGTGGTCCCTGTAGAGGTTATAAAATAAAGCAAGGATATATAACATGCTCTTGTATGCCCTACTTGAACTGTTACAGTGTATGTACTAAATCAGGTTAGGAGGAAGAGACCTATGCACTTTCTTCTCCACACAGTCAAGGTACAACGGGGAACTTGGCTGATGTAACTTGTGTCACCTTGGCACAATGATTTGATGTCTCAGAGCAATACAGCTGCAATTCAGTGTATTTACAGCTGGGAAATCGATGGCACTTAATTTGGGTGTGCCCATTAACTTGAGCAGTATTATATTTACAACAGATATTCCTGCCACTGGTTCCACCTTGAAATTTGATGGTTGGAAAATGTTGATGACTATTTGACTGTCCTGTCCTTTAGTGGTGTCTGTCCTTTTAGCCTATTTTAGTTCTCAAAGGAAAGTAGAAAAGAGGACTGCAGCACAGAGAGAGACTGGAACTGCATCTGTGTACGTGAACTTGTCTACATTTCCTCCTGTTTGAAGCTGATACTACTTTTCTGACCCTGCACTGCACTGACTGAGCTTTCTACTGCCTGTATTGGTGCTCTCTGGATTATTCTTAGTGGTTTTCTCTGCCTGCAGTCAACACTGACTGTTCACCCCTGAGCTCACTGCAGGTGGCACAAGCAGAAGTGGTTCCTTACCAGGTCCCTTGAGCTGTAATTGTTTAATTTCTCTGTGACTGCACTGTAGATTAAGGAATGCCCAGTACTTTGTGACTGCACTTCTCATTTATTAATGGTGGATGGAGTGTCATGATAGACAGTTGTCTGCCAGTGTGGCATCTGCTCCTCTGTTGCTAAATCTCTACCAAGTTAATGATCCATTATTTAGGGTGCTCTGTTGCTAAGGGCAGCTGTAGATTAAATACAAAGTGAGAGACATCCTGACAGCTGAATGAGCTCTGAATTGAGGGTGGCCAAGAAACAGGAGCAATCTGGGTCTGCTCACAAGCTTCCCTTGCTCTGCCCTAGCGCACTATCTCGTGTTCTGGGGATCATCTCTGCAGGAGCTCAGGCTGGAGAGAGGATGCATTAAGTACAGGCAGGACCTTCCCTCTTCCCTCTTGGCTCTGGTCATGCTGGATTTTGTCACAGGAACCAGCAGTGCTCTGTCTTGGTAAACAGAGGGCCTTTTGTCCTACCCTACAGCCCAATGTTGTTTGTGTGGCATAAACCAGGGGGGAGGGAGAGTTGTTTGGAGCACAAATAGAAGCTTACCTTGATTAGTCATGAAATCAGCAAAATTCCATATGAGCTCCCCAATCACATACTCCTTCCTCTTCTTGTCAAAAACAGCGTGGTACTCCTTTAGCATGGCCTTCTGGTACTCCTCACTGAACATGAGGGGTGGATCCTACAGCCAGGGGAAAGAGGTGGCCTTGAGTGCAGGTGACAGTTAATCCCAGCAAAGGCACTTCCCATTACTGGGGACCTGCTTCCTGAAGACAAACTTGGTGGTTGCTTGGTCTTTTCATTGCTGCTGTGTTAACAATGGCTGTGGAGTGACAGCTGGCAACTACTGACATTGCAAGGGGCCACACACATAACCTACAAACAGAATTCCAGGTATTCCTAGGGAGAGGCCGTGGTGGTCTTTGTCATGGCAGGGACAGCAGTGCCACCCCCTTCTGTGTGTGACAGCACCATGACATCACCATCCAGTGTTGCATCTTCCAATTCAGCATTTTCTACCACTGCCAAAGTACAGATTTCAGAGTGCTCAGTGCTCTCAGTCAAAGCTGAGAGCTCCTCTTTAGGTAGACTCTAACCTCTGCTGGTGGCAAAGCTCATTGATTTTGGTGGAGCAGGATTACAATCCTGGAGTCTTCCAGGCACTGACAGCTACTGCATCTCAAAACAAAGGCAGGCTCAGGGCCCATCTCTGCCAATTAAATTGTGCTGCCCTGTAAGAGCAGCAGAGCTGTTTCCACCTGGGACATCTCCCACACTTACACTGTGGAGTCCAGGAACCGAGTCTGCTCCGTATTCGCTCTGGATAATGGGCTTTTGGTAGGTTTTATACCAGTTCTCAAACTGTGCTGTGAGTTGTAGTGGAATCACTTCCAGGTGGCCTGGGTCGTGGTACCAGGAGAAGTAGCTATTTACACAAATCACATCCACGTAGGGAGCCTACAAAAAAAACAAGGTGAGAGTGTTTTGTCACAGAGCTCAACGTAGACAACCTTCTCTTGTAAAGCTAAATCCTCCTTCGGGTTCATTTAATGGAATCCAGGTTTATTACATGTAGAATGAAGTCTTTTTCCCCATCACTCAGGCCCTCCAAACATATCTTTCCCAGAAAAAAAAAAAAAAAAAAAGGCAGGATAAATTTAATAAGCTAATAGCATATTAATTTGGTATTTTTCTTACAGCCTTAGGAAGTCACAGCAAAGAGTTAGACAAGATCAGCCCATTTCATCTCAGGTTTGTTAGAAGCTTTTCTTTCCAAGATGTCTCTGGCTTGCAGGTACATTTAGGTGTACTTTTTGAGTATTGGAATGTGATAACCAAGTCAGTGGTCAAATATTTTGGCAAGCAGCTAAATTTGTGCATCGATGGTGCAATACTAAGACTGAGCATTCTGCAAGTTCTATGCCATTTCTACCACATGGACAGTATGAAAAAAGGGCACAAAAGCCCACTAAAGATAAAGTGATGTTGTATGTAACTTGTTCAATGTTCTCTTAACATGTTTTGTAATAAAAGAAAAAAAAGTTCTAATATCACATCAGTGTATGAGATCTGTTCTTTGGCTTTGTTTTCCTGTGCTCAGGGTGGTCAGAGCATCTCACAGGGACAGGATATTGGAGTTGGTGTGCGAGTGCCTGATTCAACAGCAATATCCAAGAGCAGATTCCTACTGGGCTCCTTCAAAACTGAGGCCATCAGGTGATTTTTTTTTCCTGGGGTGGGCAGGAACAGACCTTGGAGTTACACACTGGTAACTGTAGAACAGCTTAGAAGCAACACAAAGTGTAACCTGTAGCACAGACATGTGGTAGTACCAGGTACCTCCAGACTCACCTGCTCCAAGTGTTTGTGGTACAGCAGTGACAAGCATTATAAAGCCACCTTGAAAAATTAAAAATTACACAGGAACTACCCTGGAAACAAATGTATGTGTTTAAATTCCTTGGTTCATGCTATGGCCAAAGGCACAGACATCCAAGAAAAATACCCCTTGGCTATTTATCCAGCTCTAGGGCTTTAATTATGAAGCTGGAAGAGCTTTTTAGATTATTCAACACAAATAGACATCTGCCAAAGAAGATCTACAGCAGTTTAAAGCAGGAATTAAAGCAAAGCTTCCTTCCTTTAGACTTCCACAAGGGTTGTTAGTGTTTTAAAGAGGTTTAAGCTTTAGCTTAATTGCAAGTGAAAATCCTGAGCATTTGTAAACACAATCAATGGGAATAGCAAAGCATATTAATATATGACAATATTAATGGAATCCAGGGGTATAATCCTGCACACAAAGAACTGTTCTCTCTTACAGATACTTTTTCTTTCAGCAGGACTACAACTACAGGACAAGGTGCTTTGTACTAGAAACAAAACCATAAGTTTTCTTCTGCCTTTCCCTGTTAAATATCTCCAGTAAATCTGGGGAGGTGTGTGGGGGGAGGGCTTTTAAGGCAGGGGCCAGGGGGGGGAATTTTATTTTTTGATTTTTAAAAAATAAAAAAGGCTAGAAAATAAAGTAAACTTACACCACGGTCAAGGGCGTAATTAGCCTCTGTCACAAAGGTTACTGGTCTGGAGGGATCCAGAGCTTTAGTGTGAGCTATCACTGTCCTGTTTGCAAACAGTAAAACAGAGTTCAACAACAGCATGGAGAAGCACAACCCCATTTCCCCAGGCTCTCTGTCCTTCCACCCCCCCTCGAGCTGGTTTTTGATTTAGCTGCCAGTATTTTTAATTAAATAAAGAGATTATTTGTCACATATTGGTTGCTGTCCCACCTGAAGAAGAGCAGAGTGGAAGCACACCAAGCACAGGCACCTGAATTTGTCTGTTGGTGCCAGCAGCTTAGGAGTTGGAGAAGGGACAGCGAGTTTGAGGACAAAACTGTAAAAAGGGTAATGGGAAGTTTGTGAACAACTCTTGGGATGTGTTCCTGCAGAAGCACGAGGCCCTATCCCTGTGCCAGAGCAGGCAGAGGTTGGCTGCTTTTGAGGAAACCCTGAGTTGAGGGAGATGAGACAGAAGGGGAGGGTCAAGCCCTGCTGCAACCCCAGCGTGGCAGGAGGGTGGTGGATCATTCTGATGAATTTAACTTCACAGTTACCTCTTAAAGCACCTACAGCTACAAGGGACGGTCTGCTACCCCACTGCAGAGCTGCCTCTTGGCTATCCAAAGCTTAAATCTCTTTAAAAATAAAACCAAGGGGTCTGTAGGGACTTGAAGCAGTGGCTTTGAAGTGGGGTGTCACAGTCTCCTGCAGAACAAGTAACTGGCACTGACTGAAGAACTTTGTCTTCAGAATGAAAGGCCAATTATTTTACAGCTTTGCCGTAATTCTCAAAGAATTTAGCACTTCCAGTGGTAACAAGGAATATTCTGTTGCCATCAGGTCTGACTTTGCTTTATCCTTAGCTCAAGAAGAGGTGCTCAGACCACATGGATTCCTGGTAATTTTGCAGAACCTTACTGGTTCAAAGCCAACAAGTTGAGACAGTTGAGCATCAGTTCCACACATGCAGCAGTTACACTTTCAGTTTTCATCTGCACATGTGGCTTCAGGGTTCCCAAAAAACGCCTGCCCTCTCTTTAACCGCTTCTCTGTGCCATCCCAAAGGAAGAAGATGCATCATCTGCCAACATTCAGACCTCAGCTCTGTACAAGGAGGTGCACTTACTTAAAGTAGAAGCCTGCTGGGGGCAGCTCTGAGGCCGGCTCGTTGGCCACCGACCACATCACAACTGAGGGCCTGTTCTTATCCCTGCGGATCAGCTCCTCCATCACAGCCAGGTGGTGCTGCAAGGATTTGTTCCCAAAGCTCTCGCTTAAAGACAAGAGGTGAGACCCAGTGAGGTGAGGGTGTAAAATCCATCCCCCTTTGCCTTTCCCTGTGAAAACTCTGGGGTGTACGAGCCCAGCTGAGCCTTGACACTGAGTATGGCTCGTGCCCTACTTCCCCAAAGGTCTCTGCACAGTTCAGGGTCGTGGTTTGGGCTCATTAATTGAGCCATGTGGCAAAATGCCCCTGGGTTGCCCAACCCCTCCCGGCACACGTGGCGCAATGGGGCGATTTCTAAATAGAGCAAAGTACTCCCGTTATCGGGACAACGGGAGGGGACAGTTTCGAGGTGGCTCAGAGAGGCAGAGAGGAACAAGGGCAGGGTGTGCTGAGCGGTTCCTTACGGCAGTTTGATGCCCACCCCCGGGCACTCGTCGATGACCACGATGCCGTAGGCGTCGCACAGGTCCATGATCTCCTCGGCGTAGGGGTAGTGGCTGGTGCGGAACGAGTTTGCCCCCAGCCAGCGCAGCAGGTTGAAGTCCTTCATAATCAGGGCCCAGTCAAGGCCTTTGCCACGGATCTGGGGAGAGAGAGAGAGATCACTCCCTGTCCCACTGCTGGGCTGGGGCTTCTCCCCATGTGTTAGCCAAGCACCACGGCTTCCCTGCGGGATCCATCTCCAGCACTGCCGGGGGCCGGGAATCCGAGAGCAGCTATCACAGTCAGAGGGGTTTGGGGAGGAAGGAACCTTAAAGACCATCCTGTTCCACCCTCTGTCATGGGCAAGGACACCTTCCACTATCCCACGTTGCTCCAAGCCCCGTTCAACCCGGCCTTGAACACTTTCAGGGATGGGGCAGCCACAGCTTCTCTGGGCAACCTGTGCCAGGGCCTCACCACTCTCACAGTGACCTGCTCCAGTGCTCCACCACCCCCACTGCTGACTGACTGTATGTCAGCATGTCTGACTGGAAGCCATGGCTGGAGATGACTCAGCATCTCCACCAGCACACCCCAGGCCCACCCATGCACCCTGAGGGATGTTGGGACCGTGGCATGGTGTCCCCTTAGTGCCGGCAGAAGTTCACCCCTGGCAGCTCCCAGCCTGGGAGAAGGGTGTGAGGAAACAGCCCCTTGGAGGGGAGGGGAGGCAGGCAGGTGAGGTGAGGGGCCCGTGGGTGCCCACACTCACATCTGAATCCTCGTGCTTGTTGACGCCGTGGAAGTAGAAGGGCCTGCCGTTGATGAGGAACTGGGTGCTGGTGACGTGGACGGTGCGGATGCCGACCGGGAGCGTGTACACGTCCTCCAGCAACGCCCCCTCCACCTGCGCCTGCATTTTCACCTGGATTGCCAAGGAGGAAGGTAAGTGATGTGCTGGGGTTCACAGGGACGCCCTGTGCTCCCTCCCCTCTGTCTGGGAGAGCTATTTTGACCTCCCATCTGCTTCCCAGCCCTGCCTCAGCACAGAGCCTGCTCCTCACGGCTGCTTCATCCGTTGTCCTCAGGGTAGGAGCAAGGTCTGACCAAACAGAAAATAGAAATCCAAGCTGGGCAAGTTAAAGGATGAAGAATAAACTGCTGGATGACCCTTCTGGGGCTTGCTCACCCCAAGAGCTGCAGTGTCTTTCCACCATACTCGTCTGGCCCATTTCATCCCCTCCAAGCAAGACAGTAGGACCACTTCTCTGCCCTGCACCAGGCAGCGACTGACATGTCACAAGAGATACAGACCTGAGACCCTGGAGACTCACAGCAGCTCATCTGCCCTGATTTCTGCATCAAAACATCACTACTGATCCTTAACTCACAGAGAGTCCTCCAAGGCTCCACTATTAAAGCTGAACTCTTGCAGAGTAAAAGAAAGCTGACTGCATGGCAAAGCCTGTGGAAGAGGTTGGCAGCCTGCTCCTCAGAGACTCTGCTCTCAACTTGCAGGGCATCTCCTCCCCTGTATGGTCTCAAATGGGATGGACTGGTCCCTAAAGGTGAAGGACCTCAGAGCACACGTGTGCACTCCAGGCATGCCCTTCTCACTGCCAGACCTTGCAGTTCAGGACCCAGGGAGCTGCCAAAGTTTGATTTGATTACTGCCTAATTAGCAATGCTACGCTGGTCACATGAACAGGAGCTGTGAGAGAAGAGAAGATGGTCCATAGGGCAGTTCCTTAACCCAATTAGACAGAGAGAACACACAGAAAGGAAGAAATGCCACTTTACCTCTAAGGAGTAAAGGTATCCAGGGTTCTCGTGCATCAGGTAAGGCCACCAAAGATTTGGGTTCAGGACTTTGAGCTCTCCCTCTGGTCCATCTCCTGTAGCAACCACTTTCCCCTCCTGGTCACGTAAACTCAGGGACAAGGAATAGGCTGTGCTGCCAACAACTGACACCTGGTACTGCACCATTGCTGGTTCAAAGGAAACAAAAGACTATCAGAGACTGACACAGCAGGGGGAATACTTGTATCACATGCTGGGGGCTTTTCACATACAACAACATTAAAAATGAGGGAGATGTAGAACAACAACAGTGGCGCGAATCAGGTGTAAGAAGCAGGACCTGCCTGTCTTGTGGTCCAGAATTTTCCAACAAGGTTTGTGTATCACACAGCTCTCACTCAGAGATAATCCTGCTCTAAGTGGCAGGAAGACTGCTCCTACTGAGAAATTCTACTTTGAGAAACACCTGATCGTCCCCTGACTTTAACTTGCAACAACTTCTTGGTTTTGTTATTGTTTCTGAACGCAGCTGCTGAGCTGTGCAATAGGCCAGCTCAGGTTCAAGAGAAAGCCACTAGGAAACAAATTCAGTCAGACTTTTGCAGGATATTCTCTCTGCTGCCCTTGTCATCTCCATTTGGAGCCTGAGGTAGCTGCTGTAATTGTTCTGGACCTACCAACATGCTCTGATGAAGTAGTTGTCACAGTAATATCATCTATGTAGGCAGAAGGAGTGGTGTAAAGCACAACCGGGCGATGGATTCCAGCATAATTAAAGAAATCAAACCTGGTGTTCTGCACAAAATAGTTCTTGGGATACCTGAGTGAGCAAGACAAGGAGAAATGGCTACATTATGCTTCATTACACAAGAACTGAAGGCAGCATATGGATGCTGGCAATGCAAAATAGTCAAGTAATCACAACTGCTGGCTGGTAAAATAGTCTTTACAACAGGGTGGATCTGTCTTTCAGTGGTGCTACTGCTGCTACACTAAAGGATTCTGCCAGCTAACAAACATCTGGAGCCCAAAGAGTTTGATCCTTCAGGATAGCAGGTACTTGCAGTTTCCAGCTGAATTCAAGCTTCTCAAATCTGCCATTGATTCAGCTTGACAAATCACTTAATCTCAGCTCCCTGTGTATAAAAGAGATGCAATAACTCAGTGCTGATTTCTTGTAGCACCAAAGCTTAAAATCCTCCCTGCTCGACTGCTGAATTGCAGCATAAATACAATCCCGTGCTTTTGTGAGTTGCTTGGAGGGTTTCACACACCAGCAGCTGAATAAATTCCCACTCCTCCATCCCTGGAATTAGCCCAGCAGTGCAGCACCTTGGCAACTCACCTTGTTTTGTCAGTCATGTACTGGATGGACCCCGGGGGCAGAGTGTGGGGTGTCAGGGTGTTGTTGAGCGCGACAGTGACACGGCAGAGGGTCCCTGGGCTGCCCTGGACAATGCTGCTGATATCAGCTTCAAAAGGGAGGTGTCCCCCCTCATGCTCCACCACTTGCACCCCGTTGACCCACTGCAAGAGAAGACACCCAAAAAAATGGAGTTATTGGGGTTTTGTGGCAAGCAAAGCGCAGAGAAGGGAAGGAGCCCAGCAAAGGGCAGTCGGGATCCCCAGCAACACTGAACCTTTTTCTGGGCTCTTGATCCTCAAAGGATCAATCCAGAAGCCCTTCCTTTGCCAGGAGGTAGGTCTGGTTTACCTACAAATGTCACTGAGACACAGTTTAGCGAGGAAATATTTAGGAACTAGTCCTGATATTGGAGCAAAGAGAAACAGGAAATCATGGCCAAGTTCTTGGCTGGGGGAAAACAGGCAAGAGGGAAGAAAACAGCAAAGGGATACAAAATCTAGGCAGAGATGTCATGAGCCCAATTCCAGTGCAGCACAATTTTGGGAGCACACGGACAATCTCACGTACCACGATGGAGTAGTAGTGGGCACTCCCAAAACGCAGCACCACCCTGGTGCTGGGGGAGTCCTGCAGCCAGCGGGCAGGGAGCAGCACCTCCTTCTCATACCAGACCCAGCCGATGTAGTTCTCCAGGCTGGGGTCCTGGGTCATGTCGTTGAAGCTGGCGGGCACTGGCATGTCAATCACAGGGCCGGTCTGGCAGGAATTTCATGGAAAGGGAAGGAACAGATCATTTAAAAAGAGAAATTTTACTGCTGGAGGTGTCCCCTACCACGACAGCCTTACAATCCCTTTGTCAAGGGGGAAATAACTCGGGAAAACCTGTTTAGAAACTGGTGTGGTCTGTCACAGGTCCTACACAAGTCTTGATTAGCAGCAGGCACGGGAATGTGCCTGTTCCTGCAGGAAACAGCTGCTCATATCTTTTCCCCTCCTGATGTACAATGAGGTGCTTTCACTAATGGCTCTGGTGTCATGGAATCAGAGAGGTGTGTGTGTGGGGGAAATCCACCCAGGTTGTTGTTTTAACCCAGGGCTTCCCACAGCCTGTATTCTTTCCTGCACAGCCCCAGCTGCTGGGTGAGCAATGCAGGGGTTGTTGGGGTGCTGCTTGTCAGCTGTAGTAAAAGGGTGGCAAGACTAACGGATATTTTGGGACAGATTCCTCAGGGAAGGTTTGTGGAGACTGTTTGGAATGAGTTCAGCCTTTCTCAGCCCCTGAAAGCAACAGGGATTCAACGGAATCGCTTCACTTGCTTGTTTTAAGGTAAGGGTTACAGGGAGGCAGTGTCACAACACACTGAACATCGAGGTGCTGTTGCCAAACAGAGCCGCTCATTTTTAGCACCTGCTGAGCTCGTGATGTTGCACAAACAAGTGCTGCAGCAGCTTCCCCTTTCCTGAGGAAGCCTTTCCATGGAAAGGGGAACAAGGAAGGTGCGGTTGCCCAGGGTGAGCATCATGTGCAGGGCTGACTCAGCACCAGCACTGCAGAGAACTCGGTGCCTTTATCAGACACTAGAAAATCCCAGAGGGAAAATCCTTGGATGGTGAAGCGGATTTTCTAGTATTTGATGCAGGACATCCTTTGACTGGGATGGCCAGAACAAGTGTCTCCTTCTGGGAGATTCTCTGATGTTTAAAGCAGGTTAAGTGTACATGTCTAAGCCTCCCTTTGTGGGGGAATAGTTCAGGACTCCTCTCCCCTGGCTGGCACTTTTTGCAATAACTTCCAGCAGCACAGTGTCTTCCAGCTCTTCTCCCCTTTCACAATTTGACCAAAAATTTAGCCAAAGGACTAAAAATAATAATTATGAACGACTTATACACTTTATGCATAGAATACATAACTTCTTTCTTTTAGGTAATGGTCTTAATTTCCTAACAGATTTCAGTTACACTAAAACTTTGCTTATCAGCACTCTCCAACTTCGAAATAAATAATTCCAGTGCCCTTTCCAGGCACGTTTCTGTTCTGAGCTGCTGACAGGCAGGTCAATGCTGTGCAAGGCCAGCCTGGCTCCTGCAGCACAGGGCAGCTGAAGGTGGCTGGAGTTCATTCAAACTGCTCCTGGCCTCACAGCAGCTGCGGGATCATCAGAAGGATCACCAGAGGCTGCTGCTAATTAGGAACTGCCTTAAAAACCTCTGCCCAGCCCTAAGCGAGCGCAGAGCGGGGGGCGAAGGGCAGCGGCTCCGTAAGCCCGGCGGGGAAGGAAGGAAGGAAGGGAGGAAGGAAGGAAAGGGGAAAACGGTGCTGTCGGGGCGGGATGAAGCCTGGTTTGGAGGGCTCCCGCACCCCGAGCCCCGGGATGCCCCCCCGGCCCCGCCGCCCCCGCCGCCCCCGCTACCTGCCGGAGCGGCTGCCGGTACCAGCGCTGCGCGAACCCGGCGTCCCTGCCCGGAGACAAGTCGGCGCGGAAGCTCCAGAGGCCGCCGAGCTCCTTGCGCTCGCGGGAGGGGGTGTCCCGGGGCTGCAGCATCCCGGGCAGCGCCGCCGCCCGCCCCGGGAGCAGCGGCAGCAGCAGGAGCAGCGGGCACAGCCCGGCCACGCTCCCGCCCGGCGCCGCCGCCGCCATCTTGGGTGTGGGCAGTGCCCGGCCGGGGGCGGGGCCAAGGGGGCGGGGCCGACCCGGTCCCGATCCCGGTCCCGATCCCGATCCCGGTCCCGCCCCGACGGGATGGGACCGCGTCCTGCCCCACGCGTCACCTGCGGGCAAAGCCACCGCTATCCTGGCGTGAAGGAACTTGTAAGTGTGGGGCTGTGCTCGGGATTGGGGGATTTCCTCGAACGGCTTCCGTTTGTTTATTTAATTCTTTATCCATTTATTAATTTATTTATTTATTGTTTCGTTTCTTAAGGGGTTTTATGTATTACCTACTTTATTTGTTTATTTATTTATTTATTGTTTCGTTGCTTAGGGGTGTTAAGTTATTTAGTGCCTACTTTTATTTATTTATTGTTTAATTATTTGGGGGGTTATGTTATTCATTGCCTTTATTTATTGTTTCCTTAGGGATTTAAAGTTATTCATTGCCTTTATCTGATGGTTTATTTATTTATTTATTTATTGTTTCCTTACTTAGGGCCTTAAAGTTACTAATTACCTAATTTTATTTGTTTGTTTGTTTGTTTAGTTTATGGTCTTAAGCTGTGCCAGTGGTCTTAAGCTGTGCCAGGGAAGGTTTAGGTTAGATATTAGAAAGAATTTCTTTACAGAGAGGGTAATCAGATATTGGAATGGGCTGCCCAGGGAAGTAGGGGATTCTCTGTCCCTGGAGGTTTTTAGGATAAGACTGGATGTGGCATCAGTGCCATGGTCTGGGAACCACAGCGGTAGTGGATCAAGGGTTGGACTCGATGATCTTGGAGGTCCCTTCCAACCCAGCTGATTCTATGATTCTATGATTTATTTACTGTGTAATTGCTTAGGGGTTTTCATTTATTCATTGCCTGGGAGTGGGAGTGAGCAGCTGGGAACAACGAAGGTCTGATTGACTAAGATGTGTGAAGGCACCATGTGGACAAACACCAGCCTCCCCCAAAACACAGACACTGCTGCTCTGCACCCACCATCCCTCGGGAGCTTGCACACCCCATAACCAGCTCCTCTGCCAGA